GGGGAGAGATTAACCAAAGAACTTATATGCACATATGCATAACCCATGGACACGGACAATAGTGTGCGGAAGGCCTGGGGGGGGAGGTGCAGGGTGGAGGGAATCAATGGGGGAAAATGGGGGCATCTATAATTTTTTCAACAATAAAGACAAGTTAAAAAAAAAAAAAAGATGCCCTGGAGAACCAGAGACAGCCACAGTAGGTAAGCACAAGTGAGAAGGCGATTCCAAAGGAGGCAAAACAGTTGGAAGAAATGGTGATTATCAGAAATATAAGGCTCCCAAGAATGTCCAGAGATGTAAGTGGGACACATGACATAAGGTCGCCCAGCCCCTCACATCTCTTTACCATCTCTGTGCACTCTTCTACCCACTTCTCTGTGCTTTGGTTTGTAAAGGTCATACCTTCAACTCTCTTGGCTGTTGGACAGCTTTGTCCCCAAGTAGAGAGAGCTAGATGTTCTGGGGGCTTCTGTGGGCCCAGAGTGGCCCTTTACCATTAACTGGCTGGTACAGTAGAATGAAAGCCCAGGTGGTTGTTTTTTGCCTGGAATCGGGACAAAATTTAAGCAAATTCATAGTCCACAGTTCCCTTTGGGACAAAAATAAGCCACTCTCTGTAGGCCTTTGCCTGATCACCCTGGTGGGCTCCTTCCCTGTCTTGTCCTGCTCACCCTACCCCCTTTCTCATTTCTTAATAAATTACTTATACACGAATCTTCTTCTCAGTGTCCTACTCTGGGGAATCTGATTTTAAAAAGACACTACAACCATTTTAATTGAAATATTTAAAAAGTGATTAGATTGAACTGGAAGACTTGGGCATGCCCAAAAGGAATGTTTGGGTTGCACATAGATCAGGCTTGCAAAGACTTTCAAGCTGGTTATTATCTAACGGAAGGAAAGCTGAGCAAAACCAAGTGTACCTTAAATTAAAAGAGGGAGTGAGAAGTTGTTCCAGAGAAATAGTGGTGATCAAATAGATAGAGGGGAGAAGGTTTGGGGGAAGATGTGATATTTGACCTGGGCATTGAAGGGTGAGTAGGAAGTGAAGATGTAAGGTAAAGACACCTCAGACAAAGCACAAGGGTGTATTTTTGAGAACCACATATACCCTGAAATACAGTAAAATGGAAAAGAACATTAATCAGAGAAACATTAGGAAATGATTTATGTAAGACCCTAATTTTTCGTCACACAGGAATTTACGTGGAAACAAAGACACTTGGATTTTTGAGAGGTGATTATTTATTTCTGCCATTCAACCAAATCCAGGAAAGCAGAAGCTTGCACTGAGCTAAGATATAAATGATCAATAGTTCCACATTATCAGTGTCACTAAGATTCTTCTGAAACAGGTCTTTGTTTTTTTCAGTGAATAATGTACTTAAGGATCAGTAGAGTTGCTAATAAGAGAAATGTACTTAATACTTTATTTGGGGGTGCGGATGAGTGAGGGGAAATGTATGTACTGATTTCCAACTGGTGTTCCTCTTTCAATCTTACTCTTGCTTGAGTCGCTTAATCTCCAGAGACAGTTTATACAATTCCAGGGCCATTTTCACGTCCTCTTGGTTTGGGAGACACCGCATGAGTTTAATGCCTTCTACCACTTGCTCACAGCCATTACGAACTTCCTAAAAGAGAAAAAAGAATGGATGTTGAGAAGCTTTCTCTCCAAACTGTGAATGTAGAAGATTCCTTCAGGGCACCTCACTAATGGCAACAAAAGTGGAGTGTCAAGGCCCTCCTCAGGACTGATGGAAGAAATCCAAGATACTAGGGTCCAGACCAATGAAGCCAGGAAAGAACAGTGCTGTCGAAGACACCCAGGGCACCTCTTCAGGGACAACTGAAGGGATGGTTTTGATGGCTATGCAAAAGCATAGCACTTGTGGTAGAAAATACAGGGTTGGGCAAGGTTACCTGGATCTTTGGAACCTTTCCCTCCTATCTAGAGGCCTGGTTCTTCTTGCTATTAAATGAGAATTAGAAGTTGTCTTAATGAGCTCACCGAGTGCGTTTAGGATGAAATCGCTGATTCCAAAAGTGATTTAAAGAACTCAGAAATGAGTCCTGACAAAAGTCAGATCTCATCAGTGTTGGTTGGGACAGTGCTCTGGAGCAGACTACCATTTTTAGAATGTGATAGAACTCCCTGAAATGTGTGCCACTTACCCACTCACACCTGGGCACTTCTGGGTACCAGGTTCTGTTTTCTGAGCAGGCGATAGTTTGAGAGCTGACCACACCATAGCCAGGGTCACACTTGATGGTGACATTTTCAGGCTCAACATACAGATCCTTGTCCTCAGACAGATTTCCATTTTCTATCTCAGGTTTCAGACACAGAGCTGTTGTTATGGAAACATAATTTTGACCATCTCTCAATTCTCAGAATAAGACTTTACAATAGTAGAGGATACTGAGGGATGAATAACACTGATAATAAATTATGCCTGCATGATGAAAGTTGTTTTTACCTCTATTGTATTATTGCAACAATAAAAAATAAAAATAATTTACATTCTATTATCAACATAAAACATTATTATTATCTCCATTTTGCTAGACAGGAAAATTAGGTGCATGAAGTTTATGTGACGTGTCTAAGGTTGCATAGCTTTTAGGTGGCATGATTATGATATAAACCTGGGTTTTGTGGTCCTAGAATCTGAGTTTTCAAAGATACTATATCTCAAAACCTTACTCTTTGCATGATCCTAACTAAGCATGTAATTTTAAATCATATACTCTCAATATCTCTCTGTATTAAATGGAAACAATGGAGAGAAATTAGCCCTTGAGCTGTTGTTTATTTACAGTGTTATTTTTAAAAAGGCACACCTAATCTTGGTGGTCAACCAGAAATCTCTTATGAGGTCAACTTCACTATGAGAAGATGGTAGCAGAAACAGAAACATACATACATGGACACTTGAATTATGACAAGGTAGCACTGCAGAGCAGTGTGGAAACTATGGTCCATTTAATAAATGATGCAGGGTTCATGGATAATTCATTGGGGAAAGACAAACTTTGACTTTGACTTTCCACCATAAACTCATAATTTTCCAAGTGGATTGGGGATGTCAATGTGAAAGGTAAAACAATAAAGGTCTGGAAGATAACATAGGAGAATATATTTCTGTGACCTTGTAAGCAAATATTTCTTAAATAGGACACAAAAAGCTCCAACATCAAGAAGAAGATTGAGCTAAATTGGAATGTTGAACTTCTTTTTATCAAAGCTAGAACACTTTTGCGCTACTGGTGGAAACGGAAATTGTTGCAATGACTTTTGAACAAAATTTAGCATCACCTACTAAAAATGAACATGTGCATACTCTGTGAAACAGTAATTCTACTCCTAAATTTGTTCCCAACAGAAATGTTGGCACATTTGTACCAAGAGACATGCACAAGAATGTTCATAAGAGCATTATTTATAACCTAAAACATAAAAAATTCAAACTTTTATAAGATATATAAAATGTGGTATATTCACCCAAAGGAATATTATACAGCAATGAAAAGAAATAAACTATCATTACATGTAAGAACATAGGTGATTTTCCAAAACATAATGTTGAGAAAAGAAGCCAGGCACAATAGAGTAGATGCATGATTTTCTTTATATAAAGTTAAAAAGTTGGCAAATTAATCCATGTTGTTAGAATAGTGACCTCCTCTGGGGAGTAACTGAGAAAGGACACTTCTGGGGTATTAGCAATGGTAGTGCTTCTTGACCGGAGTGATAGTTTCATGGGTTGGCTCACTTTAGGATAATGGTGACCTATTCAGCTAAGATTTGTGCACAGTTCTGTAGTGTGTTATATTTAAATTGAAACTTTTATTAAAATAAAGTGGCCCTATAGAAAACACACCTCTGAAAACATACATGTTGGTAACAGTGGGATTAAGAGGATGATGCTTCACACTTTTCAAATATTATGCTATATGCATGCATTAATATTAACTACATGAAGTGAATAAATAAATAGAATACAATTTCTAAGTGCTGTCTCTGGCTGGGAGGAGACGGACTTCCATGGTGGTTCTACCTTAGCAAGAGCCATCAGTCAAGTTGAAGTTACCTTTACACTGAGGGGCTGGAGACGACCACTGTGAATTTCTGCAGGTGATTTGCGGCTCTCCAACCAGAATGTATCCTTCGTCACATGTATAGTGCACCACGGTCGTAAAGGATAGAAATGAGCTCATGTCATGATGGGATCCATGGGCAATGCTGGGAGACTTACTGCAGTCTTGAATGGTGAAAGAGAAGGGCGGGAGAGAATGAGCTGGGGTTTAAGTTAATTAACAGTTCAGATTGAGGAACTTCTCTCATTTGATAGAACTAAAAGCTATTAAATTGAACTAGTGAGGTGTATTTTCATTTCCTTGTCAAAATCACTAGGAAGGATTTGCTGAGTTCTTCACCACTGTGTTAATCATTTCATATGTGTTATATCTTTTAATCCTACATTAACCCTTTGAGGCAGTATTATCATCACTCCCATTCTAGAGAAAGGGAAACACAACCTTAAAGGGGTGAAATATCCTACGTAAGTGCCAGTGACAGGAATAAAATTTAGAGATCAGAACAGTATTCTTCTTATTAGTTGCAATGTCAAGTAATACCCCATAACTGAAGAGATAGGTGGCTCAGAACCAGTTAAAATTAATTTTTTAAGAATAATATTTGGGGAAATATTTTTTATAAAGCTTCTGATATCCTGTGAATACTACCCTTAGCCCCAGATGAGGCAGATGAGAAAGGGGCTGTGAGAAAGCCTGATATGTCTCCTTTCAGCATCTCTGATGGTGAGAACAAAAGACAGATTTCTGCTGCTTTGAGGTTAGTCTGTATTCCTCACATTACTCAGAACAAAGGGTGAGTACTTCCCATGGGTTAGGGCGAGGCTGCATTGCAAAGACTGACAGGCCCAGTCGTCTTCAGGCCTGTCCAAAAAGGACCACCTGAGGTGGGAAGAAAGCCTCAGTTTAAAAAAGCTGTAGAAGTCACCCAATATCTAGAAGGTAGAAAAGAGCAAGCGATCAACCAGAGTGGGAGGTAGGTTTGACCAGACCCCAGGAACTGCAGTTGGCAGAGCCTCAGAGATGAAGTGCCCACAAAAACAAACTCCCACGAGACAGAGCAAGCTTTGAACACCTGTGGGGCCAAGAGTCAGCTCAGATCAAGCACTGTTTCCCTTACCTCTGCTCCTCCCGAAGCTTCGACTCTGGGAGGTTCAGAAAGCATAGCAACAGCCAAGCCAAGGTAATTTCTGTTTAATTCACCTGCGTATAAGTCAACTGCTTTCATGAAGCCTTTCCTAAACCACAGATTAAGTACCTTCATAGAAGTATAAAAAAATAACTCTTGCCCCAACTTGTGTGGCTCAGTTGGTTGGAGCAACATCCCACACACCAAAAGGCCATGGGTTCGATTCCTGGTCAGGATTCGTACGCAGGTTATGAGTTTGATCCTTGGTTGGGGGGGTGGTGCGGGAGACAAGAGATTGATGTTTCTCTCTCTCTCTCCCTCTCTCTCTAAAATCAATAAAAAGCATGTCCTTGGGTGAAGATGAAAAAAAATAGCTCTTAATTTTTATAAATAAACATATATATGGAATTCTGTACTAGGCTTTTCAGGTAATATTAAGAGCCATAGTTGCGATGTACTTAGATAAGATATAGCCATTTATTTTTTATTTATTTTTTATTTTTATTATTTTTTAATATATCTTTATTGATTACAGAGAGAGGAAAGGAGATGGAGAGAGAGATAGAAACATCAATGATGAGAGAGTCATTGATCGGCTGCCTCCTGCATGCCCCCGACTAGGGATCGAGCCCACAACCCGGGCATGTGCCCTGACCGGGAATTGAACCCTGATCGCCTGGATCCTAGGTCAATGCTCAACCACTGAGCCATGCCCGGCCGGGCAGATATAACCATTTAAATAGTTATACCACAACACCAGTCACACAAGTGCCAGGAGGGTAGGACAGGAGATAAGATCAGTAGGAGGAGATGTTTGAGAGAACTGAGGACTGGAGTATCAGGGGAAGGTGTCCAGGAATGAGTAGGAGATACATCTTGAAGGATGGGTAGAAGCAAGTAGCTGCTAAGATAGGAGAGGCAGGTCAATGAGGCAATGAGCCAAGTCTCTGGCATCAGAAGATTGTTACTGTAAAGAAAAGGGGAGACAGAGTCACACAGGGAGATTCAGGTCAAAGCTGACAGGCATTAAGTGCCATTTCAGAGGGTTGAGGCCATAGATAATGAAAGATTTGAGGACACACAAGAAAAAGAGAGAGGGGAGCAGACACATGAAGACATAATTGAAAGATGTTGACACATTTGATAAGGTCTTCTTCTGTTACCTTAAACTCTAAGAGAGGAGGACTTGGGGACAATGTTAGAGGACTCAACATCCCCTGAGCAGGACGTTCTTTATGCTGTACCCACTTTATAACCTAAATTAGTACTATTCCCCAATAATATTCTTGTGTTTGATGTGAAAAATCACCTTCCTAATATAAATTCTTTCTTAATAAACCCACACTTTCCCCTCACCACTCTCAGTGATGGAGAAACTATAGCTTCCACATTAAATCCATCTGCTAGCTCACATAAGAGCATTCAATTATTATTTTAGAGTAAGGATTTTCCCTCCAAGCTATCCCAAATTCTACACTTTTATGCCATGATAACCATTTTCAGGGAATATGCAAATAAATATCTTTATTATGAAAATTAACTCTCTTAAGTAAAAAAATAATGTTATCTAGCACAGGAGAAAAATATTTTGCTTAAAGGACATTTCCATTTAAATAATAACAACAAATTAATTTTCATAACAACAGTTCTAGTAAGTTCTCTCAAACTCTCTCACAGCTCCTTCATTTGTAAATTTTTTTTCTATATTTCAACAACAATGCTTTACATTTATATAATGGTTTCTGGTTCTCAAATGCCCTACATTTTACTTTAGAAAATTTACTAAATGTTTATAATTGCAGACAGTATTTTTGCTTTACTGATGGAATTTGCTCCCCAATGAACCACTAAGATTGTAGATGAGATAATTAACCTATTTGGAAAGTAAATGTGTTTAAAGCATTTTGGATCATTTAAATATAAGAAATTGATTTGAAAATCAAAGATTATTCCTTGCTAAAGAAGCATCACAAGAACTTTTATAAATCAACACAATTATTCTAGACATAATAACAGCCTCTATCTAGAACAATTTCTTTTATATTTTAAAATTCTTCATTTTTATTAATAACATAGTTCATTATACTCTTTCAAATAGGTTATCAATTACTACCATTTGACTACATTTGATGGATTGTTGTTTGGTAGTTTTCTCTATATCTTAGAGAAACTACCTCCTCGCCCCAATAACCACTGTACTCACCACACAGGCCTGAAGGGCATAGCAGTAGGACCAAGACCCCAAGGAGGTACAGGGCTGGGAGAATGCTCTGCAAGTTGGGGCACATGGTGCAGAGTCTCAGAGGTGCCACACTGGGGCTCAGCAGTCTTAGACACTTTGAATCAAGATGAAGAAATGTTCTCTAAGTAACAGTTAAAATGGTGCCTAAACTAAGGAACTCGGTCTTGGCAAAGTCCCAGCACTGTGTCACTAAAGGGGAAGGGCAGTGGGAGTTACTAGAAGACAAGGTGTTGAGCACAGATCTGTCAGGGCAAGCTGATAAATTTCTGGAAGAAGAGTCTGGGGCTTGATGCAAGAGTCTTCTGGGGTTCTGTATGTATTTACTATTGTAACCCCAGGACTACTTTGCTGTTCAGATGGTGCAGATACTGTTTCTTTCTGAATATACACATGATTCCTCTCTGAGTAATCAAAGTCAAAAGGTACCAGGGTTGCAGGTACAGGGCATGTGGTGGGCTCTCCAGATATTATAAGTCATAGCATGAAAGAAAAGAAAATATCTGAGAAAAAATACTTGTCCAGGAAAGTGGTTTCTTCAATTTGGAGTATGAATTACTCATAGAATACATTTTTTAATATAGAAAACAAAATTTCTTTTTAGTTAGCTTACGGTCTAGCCAGAACAGACTAATAGGATGAGTCTGTGAGAAAATACTCAAGAATCCAGTCCAAACAATAATTATTCTTATACTATTTCAGTGGGGACTTCTTTACATCCTGGGTTTGCTGATGTTCATAAAACACCAAATGAGTCATTCTATGAAACGATTCTAGCCTATGTTTGCACTGGAAAAGCATGCACTGAAAGCTCAATAGTTGGGGATGATCATTTGAGAAGAAAGGAAGATTTAGTATGACATCTCAATGGTACTGGACCCGGGGGAGCCCAGCACTTTGTCTCTAAGCACTAAGAGACAAGTGAATGGAAGGCGCATTTACATACTGCATGAATTGGTAACCCCAAGACTAAGTTTCTCTTACCCATCTGAGACTGGCTCTTCATGCAGATTATTTCCCAATTTGTTTCTTAAGTGGGACAGATGAAACTACCAACCTGGATTCCATATCTTGCCACCAACTGTGGGTATCTGTGTTTAGACAGTTGTCTAAAAAAAAGAATAATCTCCGGGAATTGTCCTAAAGTAATCATCACTACTCAGCTGAGCTGGAATGACAGCTACATACCAATAATAACCAAAATCTTATCTCTCAAAATAAATGAGAAGAATTACCAAATATAACTGAGGGTAATTCTTTGGAATATTGAGGAAAGCACAATTAAATTTCAGCTTCCTAGAGAGAAAGGAAAACAAATAAATCCACTAAATGGTTATTTTCTTTAGAAAGAGGAACCACAATAAAGAGAAGCAATTTATTATCTTTTTATTTTTATTTTTTAAATTTATCTTTATTGTTGAAAATATTACAGATGTGACCTTTTTCCCCCATTGATCCCCTCCACCCTGCATCGTCCCCACACCCAGGCCTTCCCCATACCAATGTCTGTGTCCAGGGGTGATGCCAATAGACATATAAGTTCTTTGATTAATCTCTCCCCACCCACTGCCCCACCCCCACCTTCCCTCTGAGATCCCTCAGTATGTTCCATGCTTCTATGCCTCTGGATCTATTGTGTTCATCATAACACATGAGTGAGATCATGTGGTACTTGTCTTCTCTGCCTGGCTTATTTCGCTAAGCATAATACTCTCCAGTTCCCTCCATGCTGTCCCAAAGGAAAAGTGATCCTTC